TTTCTCTTAGTTCCATTTCTAGTCTTTCACCAAATTGTGTTGCTTCTGCCTCATTAATAACTTCAAACCTATTCAAGTATCCGTAGCTCCACTGTCCCCGCGATCCCAGTTCAAGCAACTCCCTGACAAGTTGAAAATGCTCTGTTTACTCCAAATACCACAGGGACAGCTTGGAGTCATTAATAAACAACTCTAATCAGCCATAGGGACGTGGCAGCACTTTCTCTTGCTCAAATTTCTGAAGAACAATTTTACCAAGTCGGGAAAACAGGCTTTGGGCAGCGAGCCTGTTACAAAATGAATTGGAGGATGATCTCGTCTGCAGCAGAGATGCTGGCTGCTGAGCACTGACCGATTGCCAGAAGCCTCTACCTCAGCACGCATGGAGAAGACCCTGCTTGCACTCATATTTTTCTTGCCTTTTTTACAGACATTTTGTTGGTCACAAACTCTCATGAAGTTTGTGATCCACAAACTGTGTCCACAGACACAGGCTTCTCCTTGGAGCCATAAACTCCTTTCCTTCCCATGCAGGGGCTTCATTCAGCTCAGCAAGCTTCTCTGACCTCTGGACCATGCGTCCCTCGATGTTCCCACTCTGTGCTCTCTAAATAGCCCAAGAGCCTATTCTCTAGGGAGCCCAGGCCAGGCTGTTTAGCACAGATTTGTTTCTATTAGCCATCAATTGACATCACCGAATCAAGGACAAAAATGAATTCCTGGTGGGGCACAGTGGCTCACGTCTGTAATCCCAACACTTTGGGAGGCCGAGACAGGAGGATTGCTTGAACTCAGGAGTTCGAGACCAGCCTGGCCAACATGATGAAACTCTGTGTCTACTAAAAATACAAAAATCAACCAGGTATCGTGGCACATGCCTGTAATCCCAGCTACTCAGGAGGCTGAGGCAGGAGAATCACTTGAACCTGGGAGGCGGAGGTTACAGTGAACCAGACCAAGAATTACATCACCAAAATGCAGACTCCTAAAAGGATTGATTTCTGCTTTTGAAATAAGCATTAAGACCTCGTGTGCAGAAGACAAATCACAATGATGTGCTTCAAATGAGGAGGGAAGGAGCAGCATCGGTGCCTTCACTGGCCAATAAATGGGATGATGGCATCTGACTTTGGCAGTGACCTTTGAATCTGCTGCCATTTACACCTCCCAGCTAGTGGGGTTACTTACTATTGCAAGCCCTTTGAAGTCAGGGACTGTGCCTTCAATATCACTGCACCTGTCGCTGAAAAGCTCTCGGATTGTTTGGTCCAGGGGCTGCCTGGTGCTTTGTGGGGTTTGTAAGCCCTGTAACAACTCATGGACCTATGCACATGGCACATAATCCCAGGGCATCTTAGGAAGAAGGAGAAGGCTGTCATGGCTAAGGACGCCTCACCACACCTCAGCTCCCAGAATGCTTCCCTAGAACTTTTAGGCCTTTTTAACTTATACTGGAATACAGTTTTACGAAAAAAATAAACAAAACCGAAAATGTAGTGAAGACAAAGATGTCTGAAAGGAAAGTCAATATGAGATGGAGAGATTTCTCCATGTACATTAAGTCAAATGATAACAAGGAAGTGGTCATGTGTCTTCCCTCTCCTGTCTCCAGAGTTGGTACATAAGGGCCTCCCCCAGCAGAAGGAGGCATCAGACCTCCTCACCTCTCCTGAGTCCTCCCTCCTCACTTCTCCTGAGTCCTCTCTACTGACACCATGGGTTGCTGTGGTTGTGGAAGTTGTGGTGGCTGTGGTGGCTGCGGTGGTGGCTGTGGTGGCTGCGGTGGTGGCTGCGGTGGTGGCTGTGGTGGCTGTGGTGGTGGCTGCGGTGGTGGCTGTGGTGGTGGCTGTGGTGGTGGCTGTGGCAGCTGCACCACCTGCAGGTGCTACCGGGTGGGCTGCTGCTCCAGCTGCTGCCCCTGCTGCCGCGGCTGCTGTGGGGGCTGCTGTAGCACACCCGTGATCTGCTGCTGCCGCCGCACCTGCAGCTCGTGTGGCTGTGGCTGTGGGAAGGGCTGTTGCCAGCAGAAGGGCTGTTGCCAGCGGAAGTGCTGCTGCCAGAAGCAATGCTGCTGCTAGGCGAGGCACCTGCCTCTGGCAGCTGCTGCAGGTAACTGCTGTAGGTAAGCTTTCCCCTTCTGTCTGCCACTGACTAACAGACACAAGCATGACCTGAACCTGTCGCCTGCCTGTGAGTATTTTACATTCCTACAGTTTGTTTGTGATTCTGCCTGCATTTAATCATCACCAACAAAAATAATAACCATGCAGCCTTCTATGTTGATTACAATTCAAGTCACGACCGCAACGAAATGGAGTCAAAATAGTTAGACCTTCTTGAAATGCCTCTAAGGTTGCCTTCATTTCCATGCTGTTTTTACCGCTGCCTGGGGTATATTTGTATACACAAAGCAACACTTATCTTAATAAATTATACTAAATCATTCTCAAAGAGCTATCTCTTTTGTTCTCTCCAGTCTCTAAACTGTCTGTCCATGGGGAAAAATGAGTTTTATCCCAAAAGATAAATCAAAGAATAAAAAACTAGATGAATTCTTTACAAAGACACAGATTCATGGATGATTAATCCATTGTGGGTTTGTAACGAAGGAAGGGACTTGGGGGCACATCCTCAGCCTGACACTTCATTATCATAAACCAAAACTTTCCCCAAATCTCTCTCTTGATAGAGTCTTAGAAAGAGAAGTCTGGAGTCATAAATACCTCTTCAGACTGCAAATGGTCATATGATCATTCAGGAGCCTGGTCACCTTTGGGCAAAGATGAAATTTGGCTCTTAGCCATGTCAGGTATCATGGAAGTCCGTGGTATCAACCACTTCGAACTACAAAATTAGCTTTCACTGTAATGGGAGAATATCAGCATTAGAATCAAAATAGTCATACGCCCTACTGAGAGTGTCTTCATGCGTAATAAAAAATGTCCCCGAACACCCCTTCTGCTAATTTTTCATAGAGATTTCCCGATTCTTTTCTTTGCAGACTCCAGATTCTTGATTTATTGTGGCTGGTTTAGCAGCAAAGTGAGAAGGAAATGAGGTAGAGAGTGGGGAATCCCAGCTTGGGCGAGCAGTGGGGCGGGGGCCGAGGGAAGTCAAGCTCCTTGGGTGTCTCCAGAAGCTGGTTCTTGCTGCAACCCCACCAGGGCCACCTAGGGGGTTACCTTGTTACTCTAAGCAGAGCTTGGCTCTGGATAGAAGCTTAAACAGGTTGAACTGACCACATGAATGTTATAAACAAAGGGAACATGGGTCAAATAATCATGTCAAATAAGACTTCCAAAGAGGGGAAGATGCTGTCACAGAAAGACAGTTTTCCTTCCACCCTGAAATTCAGAAGAGCGGATTCGGAGGCGGGTGCGAGATGAGCCTCCCGATGTCTAAATTGACAAGATGGTCTTGGGCACTCATCCGGCTCTGGCTCTATTCCCTTTCCAGCTCCAAAAGCCCTGTGCCTCTAGGACCCTCAGGCTACCCAAAGCCCCTTAGTTACTCTCAGCCTTTAGGATTTACCTCTGGGGTCCCACCCTCTCACTCATTCTTCCTTCCCAGTCTTCACCCGTAGAACTGCCCCCTCCCTTGTGATGGTTCTCAGCTGGAAGAGTGGGGTCAGGAGAGAAGCATCAGTTCATCCATCTTACGCTAAGGCAAGGGGCATCCGCTTTTTCTCATGAGGGAGGACCCCTCAAGTCGCTTTTCCCACACAGTAATGTGGACCAACCCAACAGGCAGGATTCTGGGACATGTGGCTTTTCCAGACACCAAGACCCAACACTTCTTAGGCACTTGCTCCTCCTGTCCCACTCGTTGAAAATGTGAATTTGTTTCCAGTCAGCGTAAACAGTGGCTGTCTGCCAGGATTTGCTGGGTATCATTACTCATGTTGACATAGATTCCTGAAAAAAGAGCCCAGGTGGCCTGGTGTAAGGTTTGTGTTGTGCGTGTGTATGTGTGTGTGTATATATACACAAACACACACATATATTATGAGATAGTCAGATGGTCCGTCAGGCACGGCCACAAGAAGAGGCAAAGGAGGCTGGGCGCGGTAGCTCATGCCTGTAATTATAGCACTTTGTGAGGCCGAGGCAGGCGGATCACCTGAGGTCAGAAGTTTAAGACCAGCCTGACCAATATGGTGAAACCCCAACTCAACTAAAAAAATATATACAAAAATTAGCTGGGCGTGGTGGCATGTGCCTGTAGTCCCAACTACCGGGGAAGTTGGGATAGGAGAATCACTTGAACCCATGAGGCAGAGCTTGCAGTGAGCCGAGATCGTGCCACTGCACTCCAGCCTGGGCAACAGAGCGAGACTCCATCTCAAAAATTTAAAAAATAAATAAATAAATAAATAAAAAGAAGAGACAAAGGAGAGGTTCAGGAAAACAGTGTATTCCAATCACAGGTCCTAAGGAGATGGAGTCACTGCGTGCCAAGAGGGGGGGTCACATAGGAGGCGGCACCGGGGGAGTGGTCTCAGCCAGGCAGACAGGGAGAGAGGACCCACGGGCTCGCTCACGGGTGTGAGGGTGGAATATACGAGCAAGAGGTGCAGGGGTGCCCATCAGTGCATCTGAATGTTCCTGGGGCTCAGTCAGGGGAGGACAGGGAGGGGAACCTGTAGGCAAGGGCTAAACATGCCACGCTGGGGCCCACCTGGGAGAGACGGGCAAAACTTACCATGCAGTGCACCGGGGACACCCGTCTGCATCTCACCTCAGCAGAGGAGTAGCTGGAGGCATCTTCCTGTAATCCAGGTGTGAATTTGAGTCTTGGTTTAGGTTGTCTGAATAATTAGCACAAATGTAGTCAACTATCCCTTACTGTGGGGGAATTTATAGGCAGGGCTTATAGGGATTTGTGAACCAAGTGACAATACTAGTAGACTGAAAAATGAAAACAGTTTGTTGGGAACAATTGAACTACAGAAATATCTTCTTTAAATTCTGACCCATCTTTTTTCTTTTTCTTTTTTTAAGTCCATCTGAGAAACTAGAGCCTTGGGACCCAGGGATGAGGAAACTTACCGTACAGACATGCGTGCTGACCTTCGCCCTGCGGGCCACGGCCTCTGCCATGCAACTGCCCAAGCTTCAGCCTGAAACTCTCTCTGGCACCGCCCTAACCAGACCAAGTGTGAGGGAGGGAGCACGTAATGCAAAGTCCACAGAGGGCCGGGGGCGGTGGCTCAAGCCTGTAATCCCAGCACTTTGGGAGGCCGAGACGGGCAGATCACGAGATCAGGAGATCGAGACCATCCTGGTTAACACAGCGAAACCCCGTCTCTACTAAAAATACAAAAAACTAGCCGGGCGAGGTGTTCTTACTAAAAATACAAAAACTAGCCGGGCGAGGTGGCGGGCGCCTGTAGTCCCAGCTACTCCGGGAGGCTGAGGCAGGAGACGGCGTGAACCCGGGAGGCGGAGCAGTGAGCTGAGATCCGCCACGCACTCCAGCCTGCAGGCGACAGAGCGAGACTCCGTCTCTCAAAAAAAAAAAAAAAAAAAAAAAAAAAAAGAAAAGTCCACAGAGAACAAGAAGCCACCAGTTTCAGTGCTCTGAAGTCATTCTAGATGGTTTCAGGGGAAACTAGCTTCCCACCTCTGATAGGGATACCATGGCAAATACCACACTTTGCCTAGGATGATCATTCTTTGTGCACGACGCATCCCATCCCAAAGACAGTCCACGGCAGGACTTGCTCCATCTCTGAACTGGTCTCACCCCCTTAAACCTGCTTTTATATCTAGGAGTTTCTTTATTTTATTTTATTTTTTTGAGACAGAGTCTCGCTCCATTGCCCAGGCTGGAATGCAATGGTGCAATCTCAGCTCACTGCAACCTCTACCTCCTGGGTTCAAGCGATTCTTGTGCCTCAGCCTCCTAAGTAGCTGGGATTAAAGGCATGTGCCACCATGCCTGGCTAATTTTTGTATTTTTAGTAGAGATGAGGTTTCACCATGTTGGCCAGGCTGGTCTCAAACTCTTGACCTCAAGTGATCCACCCGCTTCAGCCTCCCAAAGTGCTGGGATCACAGGTATGAGCCAGCAGGCCTGGCCTACATCTAGGAGTCTCTTGATGAGTGTTGGTCAACAGAAAGAAGTCTCCTCTAAAAATTGTTAATGCTTTCATAGACTACTCATGGTCTGAGTCATAAAACGTCATTTGTCTTTCAATTTATACCTTCCAAGTGAATGATGATTATTGAGGATTATCTAATTATTATCTACTTTTCTCTCTGGGTATAAAAAACACCATAGATCCTATACACACAAAAATGGTTTTTCTATCAGAAATGGATTCACTTGTCCGCCAAAAGGACACAGATTAGATTATTCTAATCTCAAGTCCCCTTAGGCTTATGAACTCAAAAAAAAAAAAAAAAAAAAAAAAAAAAACAGAAGAAATGAACGAAAACATAAATCACAGTTTAAGTTATTAAGTAATATCTGAAATGAATTAGAAAGAAACCATAAGCCTTAACAATACTCCAATCACGGTTAAACTAATTTAGACAGAAAAGCAAATAGCAACTGTCTTGAAAATAAGAAGTGGGGCCCAAGGTGGATACAAGAAAGCCAGGAGGGCTAAGATAAAGCCCAAATCCAGTGTTCATCAATGCCTACACAGTCAGTAAAACCTGATGACATTAATTTTGTGGTTAGGGAAATGTGAAAGCTAACTCGATAATACCACAGTTCTAAATGTGCACTGTTGGCTGAATTTATGGTTTGGTGGGGGGTGGTAAAAATTAGGCTTCTAAGAAAGGATGGAACTCTGCCCTCCAGGCAAGGAGTAAATGGCCCCAGTAGATGGAAATCTAAAGCAAATGTAGTCATCCGCATTTTGCAAAGAGGTGTGTTTCTGAAAATTTGGTTGTATTAGTTCTTTGTGAATAAAACAGGATTTTGAATGCATTCAGGAAGCTTGTCTTTTTTTTGAGACAGAGTCTAACTCTGTCACCCAGGCTGGAGTACAGTAGCACAATCTCGGCTCACAGCAACCTCTGTCTCCCGAGTTCAAGTGATTCTCCTGCCTCAGCCTCCTGAGTAGCTGGGATTACAGATGTGCATCACTGTGCCTGAATAATTTTTTTGTATTTTTAGTAGAGATGGGGGTTGCACCGTGTTGGCCAGGCTGGTCTCGAACTCCCAACCTCAGGTGATCTGCGTGCCTCGACCTCCCAAAGTGCTGGGATTACAGATGTGAGCCACCATGCCCAGCCCAGCTTATCTCTTTTTAAAGGAACCTCCCATCTCAAAATTGAGTACAAACTGTAGAGAAATGCTGGACATTCAAGTATTCTGTTTGGTAACTGGAGGGCACAAACAACAGAAGCAGGAAGCTACTCTCAGGGTCTTTGACTTTCTCCACCATCACTGCCCATCCATGAAAGGCTTTCTAAGAGAGATCAAGATTTTCTAGAATGTGAGATATGTTCAAACCAAAATAAAGGCAAAGATAAACTTTTAGTGATATGTTTTTATTTTATTAGGAGATTCAGAGAGTAGCTATTGACAAATAGGAATACAAGAGAGAAAAGAAGCAGAGAAAAACACGCACATGGAAATGAAATGATCATATACATCAAAAAGTCTGTTGAGAATCATAATCCTCGTTGAGCTCAGTGATGCGGACTCTTCCTTAAGAGGTAGGTTGTCCTCACATCTTTGTTTTGGCTGCTTGATATTAGAGAGGAAACTTTTCATGTAGGAAGACTGGGAACACCCAAAGCAGAAAATACAGGAACCCAGAATTCAGGAGCAAAGTCACAGTCCAAGAGCATAAGTGCTAGGATACCCAGAGGACAGGTAAGGCAGGTGAATGGGGTGAAGGAAAGTCCCCAGCATATCCTGCCACAGGACAGAGGATAGGCCAGCCCACCTAGCAGCAGCATTGCTTCTGGCAGCAGCACTTCTGCTGGCAACAGCCCTTCTGCTGGCAACAGCCCTTCCCACAGCCACAGCCACATGAGCTGCAGGTGCGGCGGCAGCAACAGATCACGGGCGTGCTACAGCAGCCCCCACAGCAGCCGCGGCAGCAGGGGCAGCAGCTGGAGCAGCAGCCCACCCGGTAGCACCTGCAGGTGGTGCAGCTGCCACAGCCACCACCACAGCCACCACAGCCACCACCGCAGCCACCACCACAGCCACCACAGCCACCACCGCAGCCACCGCAGCCACCACAGCCACCACAGCCACCACCGCAGCCACCACAACTTCCACAACCACAGCAACCCATGGTGTCAGTAGAGAGGACTCAGGAGAAGTGAGCAGAGCGGACTCAGGAGAGGTGAGGAGGTCTGATGCCTCCTTCTGCTGGGGGTGGAGCTTATGTACTAACTCTGGGGAAGAATGTTGACCTAAGACTCAGTGCTACTTCCCTATTGTTTATGCAAATCTCCAAAGCAGAATCTCACATGGCCTTTTGCACACTTCCTTAATGGGTCCTTCTGACTTCAAAAACTTGCTAAATTTAGGTTTCACTTGTTTTTTTAAAGCCATCTATAATATAGAACAGTAAACATCTAACAACTCCCTTTTCTTTTTTTGGTAATTGTAAAAGTCACAGTGGGATTACAATTTCCCTAGCTATTGTACATTTCTCCATTGTATCAGCCCAGGACAAAGATCTTTCATTCCTACATTATTTGTAAATATTTATTAATTTGCAAAACATCCCTTTAGATGGAGGAGAGCACTTTGAATACAGAAAAGGAAAGAGTGGTCTCAGGTTATGTTATTTTGTCCTCCCTAGGCAGAGCTCCTCGGCTATTTGCTAACCCTGTACCATGAGTCAGGACTCTCTGATTCGGAGAAGAGGGGATTCTGCATTATCATGGGTTATGACAGGGCATCCTTCGTGTTGTGCAGATGATAAAAGCACATCCTGATCAGAACGTTGCCAAGTCACTTGTCAAACTCAATGAGGCCTCTGTTATCATCAGCCTGTTAAGGAATGAGGATAATGCTGAAGGCATGTTTCTGGTAGTCCCCTGGTGCCTGGTTGATCCTGGACCAGTCCCCCATGGAATGCTTACTCGAAATGATTAGTTCCAGTTGGCCATCCCTATGCAGACTACTCTTTCCTGTCAAAGGAAAAATGAAAATGAAAAACAGAATAGTGAAGGCCATCAATGAAATCTACAGGTTCTAGCCCTGTGTGTCTGTTCTCAGAATACGGTGCTCTTATCAGTCACCCCAGGCCATGCCAAGGAGCACAAGACAAGGAGAACCCAAGAGTCTTCTCAGGTCCCTGCAGGACCCAGAGTTGGAGGAACTATGGTTCCCCTGCATGATGGCAAATTTTGTGTGTCCACTTGACTGGGTTAAGGAATGTCCTGATAGCTGGTCTCTGGATATGTCTGGGAGGATGTTTCTAGAAGAGATTAGCTTTTGACTAATGCTGTGTACTGAGGAAAGAAGATCACCTTCACCAACACGGGTGGGCATTGCTATGGTCTGAATGTGTTCCCCGAAAGTCAGGTGTTGGAAACAATCCCAATGCAACAGTGTTGGAAGGTGGGGCTTAATGGGAGGTGTTCAGATCGTGAGGACTCTGCCCTCATGAAGGAATTGATACCACTATAAAAAGGGCTTGTGAGGCCATGTGTGGTGGCTCAAGACCGTAATCCTAACACTTTGGGAGGCCGAGGTGGGTGGATCACTTTAGGACAGGAGTTTGAGACCAGCCTCGCCAACATGATGAAACCCCATCTCTACTAAAAGTACAAAAATTAGCCAGGCATGGTGGTGGACGCCTGCAATCTCAGCTACTCAGGAGGCTCAGTCAGGAGAATCGCTTGAACCTGGGAGATGGAGGTTGCAGTGCACTGAGATTGCACTCCAGCCTGGGTGACAGAGCCAGACTCCGTCTCAAAAAAAAAAAAAAAAAAAGACAAGGGCCTGTGAGAGTGAGTTCAGCCTCTTCTGCCCTTCTGCCAAGTGAGGACACATAGTTTATCTCTCTCTTGCCCTTTTGTCTTCTACCATGTGAAGATGCAGAAAGGCCTCACCAGATGCCAGTGCTTTAATCTTGGACTTCCCAGCCTCCAGAGCTGTAAGAGAATAAATTTCTGTTCTTTATAAATTACCCAGTCTCAGGTATTCCATTATAGCAACAAAAAATGGACTAAGACAGGTATCATCCAGTCCATTAAGGGCCCAAATAGAACAAAAAGATAGAGTGAGGGGAATTCTCTTTCCCTCCCCTTAAGCTAGAACATCCATCTCCTGCTCTCAGACATCAGCACCCTGGTTCTCGAGTCTCAGTCGGACTCTGATTGGGACCCACACCATTGGCTGCCGTGTTCTCAGCCCCTCTGACTTGGACTGAATTGCACCACTGGATTTCCTGGCAGAGAGCGGATCATGGAACTTCTTGGCATCCATAATCACATGAGCCAATTCCCATAATAAATCTCATTTATCTATTCGTGTTTCCTACTGGTTCTGTTTCTCAGAACCCTGATTAATACACCCTGGAATAATATTATGATCTGGATCTTTTTTTTTTTTTAAGTTGGAGTCTCGCTCTGTCACCTGGACTGGAGTGCAGCGGTGTGACCTTGGCTCACCGCAATCTCCGCCTCCCATGTTCAACAATTCTCATGCCTCAGCCTCCCAAGTAGCTGGAACTACAGGCGCCCGCCACCACACCTGGCTAATTTTTTGTATTTTAGTA